ATTGAGCCACATGGGCCTTTTCGGCCTTCTCCTTATTCCTGAGCTTGCTCCAGCAATTTCTGCTTAGGTGTCCTCTCTTTTCACAGTTCGAGCACTGGATCGACCTGCCATTGGTCGACTCCTTCTTTTGATTTCCATCTTTCCCGCGCGTGCGCCCGTGGGACATCCATGGCTTCTTACCGCCTTTGCGGCTGGAGGAGGACCCGTTACTCTCGCCGGTGTTATCGCGGAGCTTTAGGCGTGCAAGTCATTCCCCCTCCGTGAGGAGTAGACGGCCCACCTTGTCAACAGCTAAAGTGGTATTCTTCTTCCGCTGCTCGACATTACGTAGTCTTCCGGTCACCTCTTCCACTGTTAGGTCGTTCACGTCAAGCAATGTCTCGATTGAAATCGCGACTTGCTCGAGGTGATCGAGTAGTCAATAATTTTCTTCTTTTGATCTTTTCTTCTCTATGGCTTCTGAGTCCTCTTTATCATTTTGTTCTTTTCAACACTCTAATCCATATGATCACCATCAAACTTTCTTCCTCCAATTATTTCTTTTGAAAAGTCAACTTCTCCCTCTCCTTGAGAGTCAAGACAGACGAGGTCATGTTGATGGAACTATGGTTCCACCCCCTCGCTTTGAACCAGAAACCTCCTCAACACCAACCCCAAATATTTGGCGTGGAGAGCAACCGATTAACGACTTCTTTATCTCCTGTTCTCCTCTCTCACCGAGGAATCCATTGTTGTCGTCGTTGGTCTCTCCATTGCACGTGATGTTTGGCTTGCGTTAAAAGCTACGTTCAATTATCATTCAAAAGCTCGTAAACTTAGACTCAAAGATGACTTGCAGCTGATGAAACGTGGCACCAAACATGTTGCTGAGTATGCCCGTGCCTTCAAAACAATTTGTGACCCAACTTCATGTCATTGGCAGACCTGTCGAGGACATTGATAAAGTGCACTGGTTCCTTCGTGGACTCAGCACTGATTTTTTTGCTTTTTCTACTGCTCAGATAGCTCTCACCCCTAACCCCTGTTTTGCAGACTCAATCTCTAAAGCTGAAAGTTTTGAGTTGTTTCAGCGCTCCCTTCAGTCCTCTGACTTCACTCCTACAACATTCACAGTCACTAATCGTGGTCGCACCCATGGAAGCCACCCTTCTTCCCTAGCAACCAGCGAGGTCGTTCTTATTCCCACAAAAACAACTCTTCCAATCGAGGACGAACCCACTCAAGTCAAGGTCGTCGACCACCTCACTGCCAAATATGCCGCAAAGAGGGCCATTATGCTAACCGCTGCAACCAACGGTATGTTCGACCTGATTCTACTCATGCTCACCTTGCTGAAGCCTTCAACACATCCTATTCTATTGCTGGACCCGATGCTGCTAATTAGTTTCTGGACACTGGGGCTTCGACCCATATGACCGCCGACCCATCTATTTTGGACTAGTCTAAAAATTACATGGGTAAGGACACTGTGATCGTAGGAAACGGTGCATTCCTACCCATTACCCACACCGATACTCTTTCTCCTCTTCCAAATTTTCACTTATTAGATGTCTTGGTTGTCCGTTATCTCACTAAAAATCTTCTTTCAATCAGTAAATTAACGTCTGATTTATTCCTCTCCGTTACATTTACTAATAATCCTCTTACCATCCAAAATCGTCAAACAGGAAGGACGGTGGCAACCGGTAAAAGAGATGGAGGGCTATATGTGTTAGAGCGCGACAACTTTGCTTTTATTTCAGTCCTTATAAACAAATCTTTACGTGTTTCATATGATTTATGGTATCCTCATCTGGGTAATGTGAATCATTATGTTATTTCTTTTTTAAATAGAAAAAATCATCTTTTCTCTTACATCTTTATTGTCTTCTCCATCACTATGCATTACTTGTCAGCTTGTGAAAAGTCATCAATTGCCTTATTCCCGCTATGAACGTAGGTCGTCTCATGTATTAGATCTTATTCATTGTGATCTTTGGGGTCCTTCCCCCATCAAATCAAATTCAGGTTTTCATTACTATGTTATTTTTATTGATGATTATTCTCGATTCACTTGACTTTACATTTCAAAATTTAAATATGATTTCTTTGGATTTCAAAATTTTGTGAAAAATCAATATTCTTCTCATATTAAGGTATTTCAAAGCGATAGAGATACTGAATTTACTAGAACTTCTTTCAAAACTCATTTACGTACTTCTTGCATTCACCATCAACTCTCTTGTCCATATACACCTTCTCAAAATGGTCGTGCTGAGAGAAAGCATCGTCATGTAACTGAGACTGGCTTGTCCTTTCTCTTTCACTCCATTTTTCTCCTCGTTTTTGGGTTGACGCCTTCAGCACAGTAGCTTATATTATCAACCGGTTGCCTACTCCACTTCTTGAAGGTAAGTCACCCTTTGAACTCATCTATGGCTACTCTCCGCATTATGACAATTTTCATCCCTTTGGTTTTCGTGTTTATCCTTACTTGCGTGATTATATGTCTAACAAGCTTTCTCCCCACAGCATTCTTTGTATTTTTTTGGGTTATAGTTCTGCTCATAAAGGGTTTCGCTGTCTTGATCCCGCTACCACTAAGCTATATATCACCCGCTATGCTCAATTTGATAAAATTCACTATCCTGCTATCCTTCGCTCTCATGCCCAACCTCTTTCCTCTCCTCATTTTTTCAAATTTCTTGGAAACACATCTTTATCATATTGATTCATCCCCCTACCACTTCATCATCGCACATTCCTCGATCCAGTTCATCCCCATGTGATATTTGTTCTGAGCTTGTTGATGAGTCTGTGCAGGTTGATACTTCTCGTGCAGGTTCCGCTTTGCCATCCTCGACTTCTGATCCGACCTCTATTGAACCTACTATTGATTCCTCTTCTTTGGGCTCTCATCCTATGATCACACGAGCCAAAGCTGGTATATTCAAGACTCGTCATCCAGCAAATCTTGGTATTTTGGGCTCATCTTGACTTCTTTCTACTCTTGTTGCATCCACTAAGCCAAAAGGATTCAAATCTGCGGCTAAGAATCCTGCTTGGGTTGCTGCCATGGATGAAGAAATTCTAGCCTTACAACAAAATGATACTTGGACTTTAGCTCCTCACCCTGCCAACACCAACATTGTGGGCTTTAAATGGGTGTTTCATATTAAATACTTGTCTGATGGATCCGTCGAACGTTTCAAGGCTCATCTTCTTGCCAAAGATTATACTCAGATTCCTGGTCTTGACTACACTGACACTTTCAGTCCGGTTGTCAAAGCTAGCACTGTCCATGTTGTGCTTTCTATTGCAGTCACAAATAAATGGCCTCTTCGACAACTTGATATCAAGAATGCTTTTCTGAAGAGAACTCTTATTGAACGTGTTCATATTGAACAACCTCTTGGGTATATTGATCATCGATTTCCCGCTCATGTTTGTCTATTAAAAAAAGTCCTCTATGGCTTAAAGCAAGCACCTCGCGCCTGATTTCAGCGTTTTAGCTCATTTCTTCTCACACTTGGTTTTTCTTGCAATCACGTTGACATGTCCCTTTTTGTCTTTCATCAACAATCTAACCTTATCTATTTACTTCTTTATGTTGATGACATTATTATTACCGGCAACAACTCATCTCCTATTGACAGCTTTACTCGCAAGCTTCATTCTGGGTTAGCTACCAAAGATTTGGGTTCTTTCAATCTTGAAGTTTCACCCACTCCTGATGATCTCTTCATTAGTCAGTTAAAATATGTTCGGGATATTCTTACTCGTTCTCATAGAAAACCAATCCACACTTCTATAGTTGTTTCTCAACACCTGACTGCTGATGGTTCTTCTTTCTCTAATCCTACTCTCTATAGATCTCTTGTTGGCGCCCTTCAGTACTTGACTATTACGCGTCCAGATATTGCCTATGCTATCAATTCTGTCGGTCAATTCTTGCGCATCCCCTACTGTAGATCACTTTCTTGCTGTCAAACATATTCTCCGCTATGTCAAAGAAACACTCCACTTTGATCTTACCTTTCGTCTATCCACTGTTCCTAGTACGCTAGTCGCTTATTCGGATGCTGATTAGGCTGGTTGCCCCGATACTCATCGTTCTACATCCAGCTATTCTATTTATCTTGGTAACAATCTCGTTTCTTGGAGTGCCAAAAAGCAACCTACTGTCTCACGCTCCAGCTGTGAATCTGAGTATCGTGCTCCTGCCACGATTGCTGCTGAACTTCTTTGGGTTATGCATCTTTTGCATGAACTCAAGATCCCTATTTCACAACAACTCTTACTCTTATGTGACAACAAAAGTGCTATTTTTTTTTAGATTTAATCCCGTTTCTCACAAGCGGGCCAAACATGTTGAAATAGATTATCATTTCCTTCGAGAACTTGTTATTGCTGGCAAACTTCGCTCACAATATGTACCTTCCCATCTCCAAGTTGCTGACATCTTCACAAAAAATATTTCTCGACCTCTCTTCGAATTTTTCAGATCCAAACTTCACGTTCGTTCAAATCCGACGCTCAGCTTGGAGGGGAGGGGGGGGAGGGTGTTAAGGATAGTTGACCGTTTATTATTTGCCTTACATTACGGCCTACCATATTTGCCATTTTATTAAACGCAAATATATTGTATTCATTTATTATTCTTTCCTTTTATTGTTCTTTCCATATTATTTGTAATTTACCATATTTTTCTATTCTGTAAATGAATATAAATAGAGAACTTTCACCACCATTTAGGTGTGGTGGTTTCAGCAAATAGTTTCAAGGTCCGTTGAGTCATATTCATATTAGCTACTACATTCATTTATATGGCATTGACCATTTTGTTCAATGAATGAGGGCATATATGTCAAATAAAAGGGCATTTCATTCAAGGGCATTTTTTACAAATCCAATCTTTTTAAAGGTCATTTTAGCCTACTAAACCTTATTTTCCCACCTAAAATACAAACAAAATCATCTTATTAGGAATCACAATCCAACTTAACTTAACGGTGTTACAGTCAAGCCAACTTTGCCAAGACACCAACTAATGGCGCATTATTTGCAATGGCTGCTTCACCCATATTAAAATTGTTTCTTTGATCTAAATACCCATCGTTAGCACCGGGTCCTCCGACCACGGCTCCGGTTAAAACATTTGGATTTGGTGCATTCCTGTTGAACCATAAGTTGAAGCCATCTTGACAACTGACTGGGTTAGGGTTAGTCTTGATCGAAACAATGGAAGCTCCCCTATGATGAACTTGGGTCGGGTAGTTTGAACCGAATCCAACCATGTAGCTCATTTGGCTCGGGTTTGAACCCAGAATATAATCCACCTGAACAATCAATCCAATATTAAAAACTTGCTTTCAACTTATTTTCATCATACCATAACATGAATTTTTTATATGAACTATGGTACCTGAGATTTAGCGAAGGCGATGAGATCAGAGGGTTGAACGAGGCCGCCGACGCACTGAATCGAGGCTTGTTTGGCAGCCAAGTAGTCGGAGTAGACGGTGGCAAGGAAGGTGGCGGTGGTGACGAATTGAAGGTTATTCCAATCCCCAAAGGAGAGGAGTCCACCAGGGGTTTTCTTAACATTGTTGTTGCCTTTTTGGATGCAAGAGCAAAGGAATTGCTCACCTTGGCTCTTGAAGTCTGACCACAAACCTGATGGTTGAACCTTCCCATCCAAAACCAGCTGCCCACCAAATCAAAAACTAACGTATGAGCTTTGAGTAAATCCAATCTTTATTTAGGATACTCAAATCAATGTTTTTAATAATTCTAGATATTGTCTGATTCGTTATATATTGTCATCTGTCTTTTGATTTTCAAAACGGGTATGCTAAAAAGAGGTTTCTTCCACACACTTATAAGAAAAAATGCTTCATTCCTATCCAATTAACGTGGGATCTCATGATCCACTCTCTTTGGAGGCCCAACGTCCTCGCTGACACACCGTTCCATGTCTGGATTTGATATCATTTGTAACAGCCCAAACCCACCACTATCAGATATTGTTCGCTTTGACTCCTTACGTATCACCATAAGCCTCACGATTTTAAAATATGTCTACTCGGGAGAGATTTTCACACTCTTATTATGAATGCTTCGTTCCTCTCTCCAACCGACATACGATCTCACACAGATCTTACGCTATAGTTTAGGGTAAATTATGACATACCTTAGCTGCAAGGATTTGAACACCAGCAAACTTGTCGTCCCAAGAGAACGCAGTTCTTGTCCCACCGGTATTACCAGACCCACCCAAATAGTTAAGGTAGGTTTGATCCCCAGTTGCACGATAAAGCCAAGCAGAAGCCCACAACAGTTCATCCTTAATTGTATCAAACATTTTCGATTAAATTAAGGAACAAAATCCAACAAACCCCATACTCGACCGAACCAAAAACAAAACGTACCTGAAATCCAGAGCTTGAATAGAACTTGCCTGCTACAGGAACACTATTTTGGTATAACCCTTGATTATTCCTTGCGAAATCAAAGAGCTATGAACAAAATAAAAACAACAAAATTTAGAAAACAAGACATTCCAATCGACATTCTTGAAGTTAAGAGTATCAGAAACCTGTTTTGCATGGCGAAGAAGCGTGTTGGAATAAGCAGGATTCGAAGACTTGAAAGCAACGGAGGCGGCGGCGAGAGCGGCGGCAGACTCTCCGGCGAGGTCAGAGCCGGGATGTTGGCTGTCGATCCGGAAGGAGGTGCGGGGCGTGGTCATGTCTTCGGGTCTCATCCAACAGCTATGATCTGAGTCGCCATCGCCGACCTCACAATACATCACATTGGGTTCTGTATGAGCCTTTAGTAAGTAATCCGTTCCCCATTTAATGGCGGTAAGAGCGTTTTGTAGTTCATGCTTGGCGCCAAGTTGGGCCTTGTATTCCACAACGCTCCATGATAGCATTGTCAATGTGAATGCCATTGGGAACCCGAACTTCACGTTGTCTCCCGCATCGTAATACCCTCCCACCAAATCTATCTGTTCACTTCAGATTTTGTCAGTTTACGATGATATAATCGAAATATGAATGGAAATCACGACATGCAAACGAAAAAATTTAAATCTTACACGGAACAACCTAACAACATAACAACAACAACAACGTAACGAACCAATCGACGTAAGTCTAGTTCTAATAGATATTGTCAGTTTTAGTCGGTTATATATGGTTGTATCCCTCGCAATTTTAACTTCTGTCTATTATAGAGAGGTTTCACACCGTTATAACGAATGCTTCGTTCCCCTCTACAATCGACGTGGGATCTCACAATCTACCTCCCTTGGTGGTCCAACGTCCTCGCATGGCACACTGCCTGATAATTGGCTCTGATACTATTTGTATCAGTCCAAGCTCACGATTTTAAATCGTGTTTCTCTACAATCGACGTGAGATCTCACAAATCCAGCTCCCTTGGTGGTCCAGCGTCCTCACATGGCACACTGCCCGATAATTGGCTCTGATACTATTTGTATCAGTCCAAGCTCACGATTTTAAATCGTGTCTGTTAAGGAGAGGTTGTCACACCGTTATAAGAAATGTTTTATTCCCCTCTCCAACCGATGTGGGATCTCACAATTCACTTCTC